GTGCTATCGCTCAAATAAAATTATAAAAAGTGAAGAAAAAAAAGTAAGGTGGAGTTCATGCCCAATTCAATCAGCTAATCAGTGGCTGAATAAATAGCAGTACTCCTGTCACTGTCACTGTCCTCCCGTTGTTCATCAATTTGCTCGAACAGTCCCAGTAACGTCTCCATTGTGACACTTGTTACTATATTTGGCATATCGAACATGTCACGGGTAGCTTGCCATCTTTGTCATGCGGGCGAGATACTCTCAGTAGCTTTCCGGGCTCTCCGAGAAGGGTGGAGGAATCAAACCTGGGTCAGCCGGGTCAGCCATGTGCAAGGCAAATGCCCTACCCACTGTGCTATCGCTCCAGCCCAGCATTACTCCTACATAAAAATAAATAAATAAATAAATAAATATATGTCTTTTGAAGGATTCTATTATGTTTTTAAAACTTTTATGAATTTTGGGGGCTGGAGCGGTAGCACAGCAGGTAGGGTGTTTGCCTTGCACTCAGCCGACCCGGGTTCAACTCCCAACATCCCATATGGTCCCCTGAGCACCACCAGGGATAATTCCTGGGTGCAGAGCCAGGAGTAACCCCTGTGCATTGCCGGGTGTGACCCAAAAAGCAAAAATAAACAAATAAATAAATAAAACTTATCAATTTTGATAGTCAACTTATTTACAAAAGTCATGAATTCGGGGGCCAGAGTGATAGTACAGCAGGTAGGGAGCTTGCTTTGCACATGGCCAATCTGAATCTGATCTCCGGCATCTCATATGGTCCTCAGCCCCACCAGGAGTTACCTCTGAGTGAGGAGCCAGGAGTAAGTCCTAAGTACCACCAGTGTCACCAAAAATCTCTCTAAAGAAAAAGATTAAATAAAAATCATTTCTATTTGTTCTTTTGGGGAAGGTCAAATGCAGAGGTGTTCAGGGAACCATATGGGATGCTGGGGATCAAACCTGAGTCAACCATGTGCATGGCAAGTGCCCTACCCACTATACTATCTCCAGTCTCAAAATCACTCCTTCTGAGGGCTCTGATAGTAGTGGAGGTAAGGCATTTTTGGGGGTCCGGATTGTAGAGGTCAACTTGCATGCAGCTGACCCCAGTTCAAATCCCTAGCATCACATATGGTGGCCCAAGCATTAACAGAAGTAAATCCTGAACAAGGAGGCAGCAATAGCCCAGTCCATGAACACCACTGGATGTGGCTCCAAAATCAAAAGGAAAAAAATCACATTTTGTCCAAGCTTTTAGTTACATTATTTTTTCCAAAATAATTCTTTTTGGTTTTGGTGCTACACCCGTAATGCTCAGAGCTCATTTCTGGCTTTGCACTAGGGATCTCTTTAGGCAGGGGGTTGAGAAACCATGTGGGGAGCAGAGAACTGAACTCAGGTCAGCTGTGTGCATGGCCAGTGTCTTACCAGTCGTACAATCTTTCTGGATCCCTAATTTTTAACTTATTGAGCTAAAATAACATGCCATAATATCCAGCATTTTAAAGAATATTGTTAGTGGCTTGTAGTCTTTTTGCTTTTGGTGCATACCTGGAGATGTTCAGGGGTTGCTCTTGGTAATGCTTGGTACCTGGGCCTCCTGAAGGCTAAGCATGTGCTCCAGCCCTTTCAACTATTCCCACAATCCCCAGAACATTTTATATTTTAGATAACTTTTTCCTTTTCCTTTTGTATTTTATAATAATGCTTTTATTGATGCACATTTTGGATTTGTGGTTATTATTTTACCTCCTTGGATGCATATTGATTTTATTTATTAAGTCTCCTAATTCTATACTTGCATGCAACGTGAATTATAAAACTGTTTAAAAAAACATTCACTGTAACTCACAAGGGCCGTGGGTTTTTTATTTGTTTCTTTTTGGGTCACACTCGGTGATGTGCAGGGGTTACTCCTGGTTCATGCACTCAGGAATTACTCCTGGCAGTACTCAGAGGACCATATGGGATGGTGGGAACCAAACCTGGGTTGGCCATGTGCAAGGCAAACGCCCTACCCACTGTGCTGTTGCTCCAGTCCAGTGGGGTTTTCATTTTTGAGAGGAGAGGACACATCAGTGGTACTGGAGGTGTTCAGGGCTTGCACTCAGAGATCACTTCTGGCGGGCCTCAGTGGACCATATGGGGTGCTGGAAATAGAGCCCAGATTGGCCACTGGAAATCAAGTGCCCCATTCACTGTATTATCACTCCACCCCCAGGGTTTTCAATCCTATTCTCGTTTTCAACCAAATATACTATGAATTTACTCCTTTAACTTACGTTAATCAAAAGACACTAAATTCAGTTTATTCAATTTTCAAAATGGAGTGTTTGATGGCTATCCAGCCTGATTTTTTGTTTGTTTCCATACTAGGCAAATAATGTGATCTATGTTTAAGTCTGGTCCTTTGAGAACAAATGTTGGGGAAAGTATCTTAATCTCTTCCTTCTCTTTTATTTACAGTGGTGCTTAAACATTCATGTAGTTTGACATCCACATAGTTTCCAGACTGGAGTAAACCTTTGCGAAGCATGAAAGATAAAGCCTGGGAACTGGAAAGATAGTACAACAGGCAGTGCACTTACATACGACTGGCCCTGGTTCTATCCCTGGCACCCCATATGGTCCTCAAAGACCTGCTATAAGTGATCTCTGAGAACATAGCCAGAAGTCAGCCCTGAACACCTCCAGGTATGGCCCCAAACCAAAAATAAACAAGTAAAAATTTTTTAAAAAGTAAGATTCCACACTAAATAAGGGGTACGAAAAAACTTTTCTATTTTCATTATACTCATTTTTTTTTCATTTTGAATATTTCATTTAGACAAAGTAAGTGTGCCATTAATAATAGTGGACAACTTTTATAAAACATTTACTATAATAAGAATAGGTTAAAAGCACTTTACAATTGCTAATTCACTGAATGTTCACAACAAACCAATACACAGCATTGATTATATATCACTACATATGAAACAAAAAGGCACTGATATATTTAAGATACACATAATATAAAGTTAAAAAATGGAACATAACACTTGGATAATAGCAGTTTTCTTTTAAAATAATTGGATTTTAGGGTTAATAAAAAGGAACAAAATGTTTTACGAGAAGAAAATATACATTATTATCAGTAAGAATGTTTTTATTTTGTTTTTTTTTTTATGTTTTATTTGTTTTTTGTTTGGGGAACACATCCAGCAGTGTTCAGGGTTATTTCTAGTCCTGGACTCAGGAATCACTCCTGGCCGTGCTTGGAAGACGATACAGGATGCTGGAGATCGAACCTGGGTCAGTCACATGCAGGGCAAGCACCTTACTTGCTGAACTATCTCTCTGACCCCCAAAATAGGTGTTTTAAAGGAAAAAAGGTATTCCAAACCAAACTGTATTAATATACTTTATAGCAATCCAGGCAAATTTTATAACTCAAAAAATTTAGATGTAACCATAACATGAATAATAGTCATCTTAAAGTCATTAAATGTCATTAAAATAACCAAAGTCTGTATTTACTAAGTATTTCATAAAAATTATTAATAATATTTACTAATATTTAAAAACTAGTTCGTAAAGCATTTGATAGGATAAAAACAAGTGGAAAAACAACATGTATATCACATTTTCTTTAAAAACAAAGTCGTGGCCACACCCTTCCCGGAACCACTCCACTGGCGGGGAAGCACCTGGATGGAGCCTGGGCTTGCAGGGGAGTGGAGTAAACGCGACAGATCGTGTGTCCTGGCTCGTAACTGTTCTTCTTTCTTTCTTTTTAAACCTTCCATTAAACAAATCCCGTTGAGTCTTGCTGTCCCGGGAGGAGGGGAGGCTTGTTGGGGGGGGGGGGGTGTGGAAGCCGGTGGTTGGAGAGATATTACAGAGGGTAAGGCACTTGCCTTGACACTTCATGGTTTCCTGTGCCCTGTCAGGCGTGATCTCTGCGCACAGAACCAGTAGTAATCCCTGAACACTGTTGGGTGTGCTCCCCCAAAAACGTCTAACAAGATTTGTGCCAACAATTTGGGAGTACTTATCTATAGTTGGTGAGGTTACACTGAATCTTGGCATTTTTGTCTCATTTCCTCTATTACAATAAAAACATAAATTTGAGAGATGAAACCATAAGATTAACACTGACTTCAAAGACAGTTATCACTCTGCAAGGAATTTTAAAAAGTAATTTAAAAAAAAAACTAGAGAGCACACAAATGTAATCAGTGTAATATTTATATATACACAAATAAATGACCTGACTGTCCTGAAACTCAGGAAATAAAAACAAATACACTGGGCCAGGAAGACAGCTCACAGATTGGAGCATATGCTTGGTAGGTGGAGACCCCAAATTTGATCATCAGCATTGCAGAGCACCCCTAAGTATGAATCTCGTGGCCCTCAGCATAGCTAGATCCAAGCAATACCATATCACTAGGCATGAACATTGACCCATCCAGCCTGCTCTCTGGCTCAAGTATTACTGAGCACTGCTTGGGAGTCGAAAGTAGTAATAATAAAAGAAACCATATCACCAAGAAAATGGTTCTAAAAAATGGGGAATCAAAGAATTATTAACAACTGTCATTAGTACAAGATGTGGGTGGGTGGACAAATTCCAAATTACAATTTGAATTCAAAACTTACAGTGAAATTGATTTGGATTAAGATATATTAAGAAACAAATATAGGGGCCATGGGCCATGGAGATAGGGCTCTTGCCTTGCACAGAGCCAACCCAAGTTTGATCCCCAGCATCCCATATGGTCCCCCAAGTACCACCAGGGGAGATTCCTGAGCACAAGAGCAAAAAGTTCTGAGCACCGCTGGGTGTGGCCCCAACACCAAAAAAAAAAAAAAACAACAAAACAAACACCAAAATAGTGAAAAGGGGTATCTTTCAAACATAGTTTATTGTACATTTTTGGAGCCATGACTAGCAGTGCTAGGGAGCTATTTCTGGTGGAATTCAGAGGGCCATACAGTGCCAGGAATTGAACCTGGGGATCCCATATGCAAAACATGCACTTTAGTCCTTTGAGTCATCTCCAGAGTCTTCAAAAATGCTACTGTTAAAAATATTAAGTAACAATAGCTTTAATTTTGAGTATTTACCAGTATGAATTCCTTGATGATGAATGAGATCTGAGCCCCTAATGGCCACATTCCTTAGAGTTACGGGGCTTTTCACCAGAGTGAATTCTTAGATGTCGAGTCACATTTGAACATTTGTTAAAGGCCTTCCCACATTCATTACATTCATATGGTTTTTCATCTGTATGAATTATCTGATGCTGAAAGAGTTGTGAGTTCTGAGTAAAGGCCTTTCCACATTTAAGGCATTCAAAGGGTTTCTCCCCAGCATGAATTCTCTGATGTTGATGAAGCTGTGAGCTCTGAGAAAAGGCCTTGCCACATTCCTTACAATCATAAGGTTTCTCACCCGTGTGAATTCTTTGATGTTGAACAAGTTTTGAGCTCTGAGTAAAAGCTTTGCCACACTGCTTACATTCATAGGGTTTCTCACCTGTGTGGGTTCTCACGTGTTGAAATAGCTGTGAGCTCTTAGTAAAGGCTTTTCCACATACTTTGCATTCATAAGGTTTTTCCCCAGTGTGTATTCGCTGATGGTCAATAAGATTTGAGCAATATCTAAACGCTTTCCCACATTCCTTACATTCATAGGGCTTCTTACCGGTGTGAATTCTTTGATGTTGTGAAAGGTACGAGCTACAACTAAAAGCCTTTCCACATTCTTTACATTCAAAGGGTTTTTCTCCAGTATGAATTTTCTGGTGCCGGGTAACATGTGAACCACAACTAAAGAATTTCCCACACTCCTTACATTCATAAGATTTTTCCCCAACATGAACTCTCTGATGCTGAATAAATTGTGAATTTTGACTAAAGACCTTTCCACACTTCTTACATTCATAGGATTTCTCTTCATTATTAATTATTTGGTGTAAAGTAAAAAGTGGCTGTGGAATTAATGCAGGCATGTATTCATGACCAAGTATTCCTTGGCGAAAACTTCCATTTGGATCATCTGTTTGCCCTTCAAAATGGCTTCTGTATTCCAAAACATCTCTGAAACTGGAGTACTCAAGGCCTTGCTTTGTAAGTCCCATTAAATCCCTATGGCATGATTCCATTTCATAAACTTCGTTCTTGAGAGATAATAGCTTGGTTTCACACATTGACTCCAGATCTGGAAGAAAATGAAATGATAAATATTCTTTTCCCCCTTCATTTGTAAAGTTAATTTTTCATATAAAAATGGAAAAATTCAAGTAAAAATGGTATCTGGTAGTAAATTATATAGCTCTCAACTGTATGTTCAATTTGATAGCTATCATTATAAAGTTTCTTGGACCAGAGTGATAATACAATGGGTAGAAAGGGCCCTTGTCTTGCATACAGCCAACCTGGGTTCATCCCTGGCACCCCAGAAGATTCCCCTAGCCTGCCAGGAGTGTTCCCTGAGCAGAGAGCCGGGAATAAGCCTTGAGCACTGCTGGGTGTGCCCCCATTTTTTTTTTACCAAAAATGGGGTCAGGGTAAATTAAGCCAAAAATGGGTATCATAGCAAAACGGATTCTATAGGAATATCTGAGAGACAGGAACTCATTCCTGAACAATCTCTTTTCTCGTTAGCTCCACATGATTTTTTCTTGCTTTGATATAGTTATATACATATATATATACACATATATAGATTTGAGGGCTTGATAGATATACACATATATAGATTTGAGGGATTGAGATATAATACAGTGGGTAATGTGCTTGCCATGCATGTAGCAAAGACAAGTTTATTCTCCTGCACCCACACGATTCCCCTGAGTCTTACCAGAATGTCTGAGCACAGACCCAGGAATAAGTCTTGATCACATATGTTTATACACACACTCTTTTAGACTTTTTGAAATATACATATTTCAAAACCACCCTCTTCGACTTCTGCCAACTTCTTCCTTCAAACTAGAATCATCTCTTACATAGATCACTGGAGTGGCCTCCTAGCCAAATCCCCAGTGATGTCTCATACAATCTAACCCATTCAGGCTTCCACAGCTCAAAACTCAAATTTCTCATAATCACTGATAATGGCTGATTAATATAGGGTGATCTCAACTCACACTTTCTCAAGTCACTCTTTCATTTTCTCATCAGGCCTAGCAACACTGGTTTTCTCTCTTCATCACATACACCCCAAGCTTTTCCTTTCTCTAAGGTCCTTCACAAGGATTCTTCCCCATGCCTGGCATTTTCTTCTTTAATAAACATATTAAATAATAAGACCTAGCAGTGAGTCCTGCCTTACAATAATTCTGAAGTGGTAATGTGTTAGGAACTAAGGGTTAAGTAAGACAGGAAAGAAAGAAGGCTGAGTGAACAGAGGAACAGCCACAGCCAACTGGTGGTCTGAACGCTGGCACTGGCTGATGTAAAAAAACAGCAAGGCAATGGTCCTGCAACCGCAACTGTTCCAGCTTGGCCTCCCCTCCTGGGTATGAGAAAACAGATTGTCCTGAACTGCCAAGACATGAAGTTATGTAGTAGCTTGGCTTAGAATAGTTCTTATACGAATAATTATGCTGAGAAAAACAGCCCAGCTTCATGATTGATCTGGAAGAGACATCTGAAGGTAGGCCTGGCCACCACTGGGCCCAGATTGCTAGACCCTTAGTGGGAATGGGGGCAGATCTAGTCCCCACCCTGCCAAAAGACCAGCTCTAAATCCACCCACATCAGGCTCCTGCCTATTCCAGAGAACAACAGCCCAACTTCATGACTGATCCAGGAGAGACGCCAGAGAGACACTGGCAGCTGATCGTCCCGGCTCCATAGCTTCTGAGGTGTGCAATACCTCAAACTTCACAGAGCTGACAGTTCAGGAGAGGCAGAGAAAATTAAGATGGGAAAATTGAATAGAAGCTCACTGTGATAGCACAGCGGTAGGGTGTTTGCCTTGCACGCAGCCAGCATGGCCGATTCAAGTTCGATTCCTCCGCCCCTCTCAGAGAGCCCGGCAAGCTACCGAGAGTATCTCGCCCGCACGGCAGAGCCTGGCAAGCTCCCCGTGACGTATTCGATATGCCAAACACAGTAACAACAAAGTCTCCAATGGAGACGTTACTGGGCCCGCTCGAGCAAATCGATGATCAACGGGAGGGCCTTATATTATTAAGCTCAATGAAACAGAAGGTTCAACTCACACCTAACAGCTCAGTCAATCCTCAGGCCATGATTTTAGAAACACCATTATGAGATATACATTGGAACAAGTCATATAAAGTGAATTATTTTGTGCCTGCTGAGGGAGCAGGCTTGGGTGGGTGGGGTGGGAAACTGGGGACATTTATGGAGGGAAGGGCTCACTGGTGTTGGAATGCTGAATACCTGAAACAACTGTACTACAAACAACTTTGTAAATCACAGTGTTTTAAATAAAGTTTTATTCAATACAAAAAATCCATGCTTATAAAGTATATTGTCTCCAAGCTAAGAATGTTATCCCCCATTATCCCCCATTATGGTTTCCTGATGTAAGGCAATAAATACGTTTGTGGGGAATGGACAGGGCTATACATCATAATGTTAGCCTCATGGATAACAGTTCATGAGACTTTTATGGCCCTGCTCACCTTCTCTTTACTCTCATTTCTTTCTTGTTTCTTAACCCTCAGGCCTGCTTCAACACTATTCACCAGGGCTGGTCCCTGACATTGATGAACAAGTTGATATTTCAATATCTCTAATATCAGGGGGCAGAGAAATAATAGTACAGCAGGTAAGGAGCTTACTTTTCATGCATCTGACTGAGATTTGAACCCGGCACCATATGTGGTTCCCCAAGAACCACCAGCAGTGATCCCTGAGCTCTGAGCCAGGAGGAATCCCTAAGCACTGCCAGGTATAGCGCCCTCCCCCGCAAATCAAACACTAACAAACCAAATATATCTAATAATAGTAAAATGATACGAAAACATCTATGATTCCCACTCCTGTTAAAGTCACAAGAACTACCCAGATTACTCCGGTGCTGATGAAATGAGTGGGTCACTCCCTGTCATCATTTTGCTTCTGTCCTGTCATTTCTCACTCACCTAAACACAAGCCTCTTGTCAGTTCTCTGCCAATCATCCAGGGCTCTTTCCCTTGTTCCAACAAGGAGATAACTTGAGGTTTAGGAATGTAAAGTCCTGCTCACAGGAAAAGATATGGAACATAGTTATGCAGTGGGTAAATCAGATCCAGTCCCTGGATGATCAAAGAAGAGATGCCACTACAGGAACAGCCAAGGAAAGATGAAGCTTCAGCCATAGCCAATGGGTGCTGCCCATTTCCCACACTTTCTTTTCATTCAAGTTCAAAGCATTTAATCGAGACCAGCAAGCAGAAATTCAGCTGGGAAGTCAAAAAGCAAGTGAGAAATTCCCTGTGGAAGAAACACATTCTGGAGCACTCCAAACTACTGGTCTAGACGTCCTTACCCATGGATACCAGATTGCTATAGTTCTCTAACATCACATCTCTGTACAAGTTCCTCTGAGCAGGATCCAGGCACTCCCACTCCTCCTGAGAGAAGTTTATGGACACATCACTGAACATCACTGTTCCCTGAAACAATGAACACATGTATTACTGGTGTCATGAAAGAAAGAAAACCATTATGCTTGAATTCTGGAGAAAAGTCAATAAATAACAGCACTATCACTGAGAACCATTAGATTTCAGGAATAGATGCAAAAACATGTTGGGGAGGAAGGGTTAAGACAGATAAAGAAAAAGCACAGGACAGGCAGTATATGGGACCTTTCAACTCAGAAATGCTGGAGCCGGGCGGTGAAATGCTGACCCAATGGGGGTCCTGAAACTGCTCTATCTCTATTCTTTTTCCCAAAAGAATCTTTCTTGAGAAAACCCTTCACAATTGTTTGTCCTAATATACTACAGCCCTCGGAAGTGTACAAGCCTACCCTGGATAGATTAAGATAGTTAGGCACTTGGACAATAAAGATTGTTGTTTCTCTTCTGATGATTACTGGTGCGAAGTAATAAACATTATACATGGAGGACAGTCGAGGCTCTCCATCTGTGAGGTTGTGAGCTCCCTGACTCATGCTTTTTCTAGTATTTCTGTCTCTTTTCTTAATCCTCATCATGTTTCTGCTTCAGACTTGTTCACTCAGGGCCTATCGCTGGCAAAAATACTCAGTTTATATTTTATTTAATTAATTTATTTTGGTGTGGGGCCCATATCCAGCAGTGCTCAGAGGTTACTCCTAGTTTTGCACTCAGAAATTACTCCTGGTTAGGCCAGAGAGATAGCACAGTGGGGAGGGTGCTTGCCTTGCATGCGGCTGACCCAGGTTTGGTCCTTAGCATCCCATATGGTCCCCCGAACTTGCCGGGAGTGATTTCTAGGCAGAGACAGGAGTAAGCCCTGAGCACAGCTGGGTGTGGCCCAAAAACTGAAAAAAAAGAAAAAGAAAAAGAAAAAAGAAAATACTCCTGGCAGTTCTTGGGAAACCATACAGGATGCCAGGGATCAAAACTACGTCAGCCTCGTGCAAGGCAAATGCCCTACCCACTGTACTACTGCCTTGCATGTGGTCAACCCTAGATTGATCCCCAACACCCCAGACGGTTCCCCTGCCCCACCAGGAGTGATCCCTAAGTGCAGAGCCAGGAGATATCCTGAGTACTGCTGAGGGTGGTCTAAAGCCAAGAGCAGGGAGAGGGAGGGAGGAGGAGAGAGAGGGAGGAGAAAGAAATAGAAAGAAGAGAAAGGGGAGAGAGAGAGAAGAGAAAGGGGGAGAGAGAGAGAGAGAGAGAGAGAGAGAGAGAGAGAAAGGGAATGTACTTTTCTATCACAGTCCTTGGGAGAGGGCTGAGGAAAACTGATGCTGAACTTTACTAAATAAAAATATTAATGCTGGTTCAGAAGAAGGAGACTTATTCGGGGTAAAAGAGTATAAAATTACGTGGGGAGAGGCCAAAGATATACTACAGAGAAAGGGCTCTTGCCCTACCTTACATGCAGCCAACCTAGGTTCTATTCCTAGCATTCCATATGGACCCTTGAGCACAGCCTGGATAATTCCTTAGTACAGAGCCAGGAGTTAACTCTGAGCACTGAGTATTGCTCGGTATGGCCCAAAAACAACAATAAAATTATGTGGATAGCACCAGAAAGATGGTTCAATTTGTAGAGCCCATGTGTGACATGCACCAGGCCCTGAGTTCAATCTCCAGCACTCCATGGTCCCCAATGTAAACCACTACTGCTGGCACGGCTGGGTAAAATCAGCATTGCTGGAAGTGGCCCCATCCTGCCAGCATCACTGGGTGTGGCCCCCAATAAAAAATGATCTAACTCTAATGAGAGAAAATGGGAATGAGAATCATAAATGGGGAGCCTGTTATTCTGAATATCAGGAGAAAAAAATGTAAAGAGCACATGGTCCCATAAGCCCCACCAGGAGTGATTACTGAGCACAGAGCCAAGAGTAAACCCTGAGAACAGCTTGGTATGTTCAAAATCCATTACACGGCTGGAGCAATAGCACAACAGGTAGGGTGTTTGCCTTGCACGCAGTCAACCCGGGTTCGGTTCCCAGCATCCCATGTGGTCCCCTGAGCAGGGCCAGAAGTAATTCCTGAGTGCAGAGCCAGGAGTAACCCCTGTGCATTGCCAGGTGTGACCCAAAAAGAAAAAGAAAGAAAGAAAGAAAGAAAGAAAGAAAGAAAGAAAGAAAGAAAGAAAATGAAACACTGGAATGGCCGCCCTGCTCCCTGATACCACTTGGGAAGTTCTCCTCAAAACAAACAATAATTTTTTTAGTATATGTGCTGCTGAAGCAAGCACAAAAATAAATAATAACTAAAAAAAAGAATTTAATGTCTGAAGGCAAAAAGCATCAACTCACCTGGGCCATGGCTTTCAGTACTGCAGGCACTGATCAGTCGTCTGGTCTATTTTCCTGAAGAAAGGAGAAAAGAAAGTTGCTTTCTGAGAAGACAAGACTGGGGAACCAAGAAATGCTTAATAAATCATGCTAGTGGGCTGGAGCGATAGTACAGTAGGATGGGTGCTTGCCTTACATGTGGCCAACTGAGTTCGATTCCTAGCAACATATGCCCCCCAGTGCCCCACTAAGAGTGATCCCTGAGCTCAGAGCCAAGAGTAAGCCCTGAGAACTGCCAGATGTGACCCAACACACAAACACACACACACACACACACACACACACACACACACACACAAAAAATCATGTTAGCATCCAAAGTGGGTAGCACTATCTTCTTTTTTCTTGGCCTAATGCTACAATCTAATCTATTTAAAGTATATGGAAAAGATTCTTTTTTTTTCTTCAACCTCTGGGTAGGGCGTGTCTTGCACGAAGTTGTGATCCCCTGTACCACATAATAGTCCCAAACCCTCCAGGAGTGATCCTAAGTGCAGGGTCAGGAATACATCTTCAGCAATGCAAACAAACAAACAAGAATATCCAAGGGTCAGATAACTCACAGGACACTATGAGGATGACCCAGGTTTGATCCCTGGCATCCCATATGGTCCCTCGAGCACTGAGCACCATCAGGAGTGATTCTTGAACATAGAGCCAGAAGTAAGACCTGAGCACAGCCAGGTATGCACCCCACACACACCATAAAAACAAATCTGTACTAAAAAGGGCTTTCATTGAATAAATAATAAATATATATACAACCTACCAGGAATACTTACTGTATTACAATGGACATCATATCACTGAAGCAGTGAAGAATAATGTAAGTTAAAACTACCCTAAAGTCAACAGAAGAGGATGAATAAAATAGAGATTTTTCCTACCAAAATTAGTGGTATTTTTCTCTTATCTTATTACCTGTATTACTGGCATACGGTGCTTCTTTTCAAATGTACAACATGAAAAGAATGAACTCAGAGAACTGTGAAAATATGCTTAGTTCAGACCTTTTTCATATGTATAGCCTAACACAATTACTCAAGACAAGAGGATCACCGAGTAAGCACCAGTGAACATACATAAAAGGAGTGAAAATGGAGTTCCGAAGAAAACTAAGACTGCGTCCCAAATGAGAGCTCAATGCATACTCCAATCATCATCACATAGGAAATGAATATTTTATTCAAACTACATTCAACCCTTGACAATTACAGTGATACCAATTAGGAAAATATAAAAATTTAAGGATTCTAAGTGGTACTCTAGGGGGTCTGGGGACCACTGGCTGCAATACTTGATCAATCCGGCCAATGTTATAGTACTACAGCCTAAGGGTGTGGTGCTGCTTGGCACCAGCTATGCAGGGGACCACCAGGTTCATCCCAGCAGAGCTTGGAGGACATTAGGGGCTACACCCAGTGATGCTCAAGAGGTTATGTGGTGCCAGGGACCAATTCTGGGTTGCTTTAGGATCTCCCTGGCCCTAAATTTGGTTTTTAGATTTGGGAATTTTTTTTTTTTAAATCACAGGACTTACTCCTGGGTCTGCACTCAGGGATCACTCCTGGTAATACTCAAGGGACCACAACTGGTGCTGAAAATCAAACCCAGCTTAGCTGCATGCAAGGCAAGTACAATGTCTCCACCCCTGATTTTTAAACTGTTTTTGTATCACTAGTCCAGGTCTTCATGACAAACCAATGAGTTGTAATGGCCTCTATGACTCTGCAATAAAGAAAACACCATCACACCTGGTATTCAGCTTGGTCAACAGCCACTGCTCTTTCTTTTGATTCTGTGGAGCTGTCAGAGAAGATCAGAGCTTAAGAAAGAGAAAGGATTTTTGAGATGCCAGGTCCTTCTTATGGACTCTACAGACCACTCTACCACCATACATGGAGAGAAGAAGGGATGGAGAGAGGCTGGAGGAATCTAGGCTGTGTCACAAAGTCTGTGCTGGTGATCAGGCCCTGGTCTCACCTGGCTGCACCTGAGTTCACCTGAACTCAACAGGAGCCGCTAAGCCATATAAGAAAGATGGACAAGAAGCTTTATTCATCCATCCCATACACTGCACAGTGATTGGGGCCTCTGACCCTTGACCCATGAATTGACCCTTGACCCTTGACCAAAGACTATTATCACATTTGTACCCTCACACTACATTCCTGTGTGTCAATTAAGATCATACAAGGTTCACTGGTGGAGGGAAGTTGACACTGGTAGCCTCTGACCCTTGACCCATGAATTGACCCTTGACCCTTGACCAAAGACTATTATCACATTTGTACCCTCACACTACATTCCTGTGTGTCAGTTAAGATCATACAAGGTTCACTGGTGGAGGGAAGTCGACACTGGTAGCAGGATCTGTAATGGAACATTGTATGTCTAAACCCCAGTGATTAATAACTGTGTAAATCATACTGCTTTGATAAAATTTGGGAGTGGAGGAGAAAGCATACAAGGTTCACTTTAATCTATAGTCAAAGCACTGTCCCACATTGAGATGTGAGGGGAACAAGATATAGTAAGGGGGTGGAGGAGTGGGGGATGGAGTGATAATACAGCAGGTAGGAAGTTTGTCTTGCACATAGCCCAGGAAGCTTTGATCCTCACACCACATATGGTCTCCATAGCCCACCACGAGTGACAGCAGCATGCAGAGCCAAAAGAAAGCCCTGAACACTGCTGAATGTGGCCGAAAAACAAACAACAACAACAAAAGAGAGATGGTAAAAGTCACATAATCAATAGGGAGAAAACTTATTTTTTCACACTGCTCAGCACTTTCCTGTACTTCTCAGCAAGCCAGTCAGGTGGTCCTGACAATACTCAAGGGCTAGCAAGGAGTCAGTCAGCACATAGTTACAAAGTGAGCACAAACGGATGTCCATAAGTCTCAGGGACGAACTTTTAACCCATTACTTGGCCCAAAGGTATACAGTAGATGGAGGACGTTTTCTTTAACTAATTCAATAGAGCTGCTACCTCTACAAAATGGGGTATAGCAATATCGGACATCAATCACTGGCCACCTACACTGTCACCCAGGCACAACTAACACTGCTCACTAATCTGTACAGAACCACAATAAATTACCTGATGGGGTTGGAGAGACAGTCCAAGCCCCAACGCCCCATATTATGGTTCCTTGAGCCCCTCTAGGAGTTGTCCCTGAGCACAGAGCCAAAAGCAATCCTTGCGCATAGCATGGTGTGCCAGCAACAACAGTTACTTGATACACACATCAGTCAGACATCGGGTACATTTATTGGTAACATTCACTCAACCGCAGTCATACACATACCAATCAGAAGACATTGCTGCACAACGTCACACAAAATCCCCCATACCCCACGAGGCACAGTAACACCTACACACGCCACGATCACAAGCTATGCACAGTTTACTAGGTTATGCACGGTTACACGTATACACATAACTCCGCCCACGATCACAGAGTGACACTCCTACCACCTGGACTTACCACCCTGAGTTACATAACGTCAAAATCGCACACGTGGACTCCCACACTCTGGCCCCCTCCTCCCCATCTCGATCAACGTACACAGTTCAGAGCGGGAATCGCGCAGACAGTCCTTTCAGACCTCCAGCGACGCACATGCACACCAAAAATGAGCGCGGCCAACTCACCTAGCACTCGCCTTCCCCGGAGGCCGAGGGTCCCGCAAGCGAGTTAAGGGGCTGCCCTACACCGACGGAGACTTCTGGGAAATGTAGTCCACAGCCAGTTTCATTCGCACAAGATGGCTTTCGGCGTCCCGCTTTACCCGCTAGGTCTGACCAAACCGTCGCAACTGTTGCTCTTCTCGAATCACTGACAGCAGTTTTCCGAGTGAGAATCACACGAATCCGACTTTACGAGGTCGGTGGACAAGTTTCCTGAGAAATAGAAAGAAAAAAAGAAAAGATCGTTGGGTTAACACCCGAAGTTGGTTAAAGCCGTAGGGACTTCTGGGAAATGTAGTCCCGACATTGGTTGGTGACGCTGGGGCTTCCGGGAAATGTAGTCCTGAAGTTGGTTGGTGACGCAAGGACTTCTGGGAAGTGTGGTTCGGCAGTTGGTTAATTGCCGCGGGGACTTCTGGGAAATGTAGTCTAAAGCGGAAAAGAAATGAGGTTTGTCGTTGACTCTGCTCAAAGCCTGGCTGTTTAGCAACCAGGACGGCGATGGAAGGGATACGTAGCCCACTTTGAGAATATTTGGGACCAGCTGAATAAATAACCTTCCCCTCCCACCCCGTATTGTGATGGGGATCTGTGTATCTCATACTGCTCATACTACCATGCTGCACCAGGGTAGAGCCTTGAATGGGACTGGGGAGCAGAGTGTGGGGGAGAGGAGCTCCAAGCCCTGCATGCTATGATATCTGAAGATCCCTCGTGTGTGAGAGTCGTAATATGAAACAGAATTGATATGAGAAGAATCAAAATCGTAGTTTTGGATCCTCTTGCACTTCTTGTTTTGTTTTAGAACCACACCTGGCGATGCTCAGGGGTTACTCCTGGCTCTGCACTTAGGCATCACTCCTGATGGTACTCAGGGTATCATGCCAGGTACGGAACCCTTGTGTGCAAGACAAGTACCTTATCCCTTGTACTATCTCTCCAGTTCCGATCCTCCTGTACTTTTAAAATATTACTTTAAATATGTTGCTTTCTGCTTAAAAAATAAATTTATCCAAATGCATTGGAGGGTTTTGCTTGGTTTTTGGTTTGATTCACACTCCTGGCTCTGCACTCTACTCCTGGAAGTTTTGAGGTACATTTGTGGTGCCTGGGATTGAATCTAAGTAAGCAAATGCCTTACAAACTGTACTATTACACACATATAACCCATCCCTACGCCCAGTGAATTGTTGATCTAAATTGCCCCCTGAATGCACGGGAAAGTTGGGAGCTAAACATGTTGCTATGCAGGTAAAGAGAGGGCAGGAACTTTAGAGGCTGGGAAGACTGAATAGGCCATAAGTCATAAGTTATGATTTAGAACAGAACAGAAGAATCTAGATTAACCTGTTACATTGGCAGGAAGGGGAGCGGGGCTACCGAAAAATTAGTAGATTAATAAATATCTATATGGAACATAAAACAATGTACCCACCACAAAGATTCTCAGCAATAAGGGTCCCCTCCAAGTCCCCAGTCATGCCACTCCTGCCTCAATGTACCTCACTGTATTGTCACCAAGTAACCAGTCGAGGAACTGCACTCTTTGGCTCTTCTCTTTGTCCAGCAAGTGTGCTATATTACAAGAAATCTCCCTATCTAAACTGCTCTGTCCCCCTGCTCAGAACAGCAATTTCAGGTGATTGCCTACTTGCCATTGGTCTAGGAGTTAAATAATTAAATCTTTCTTTCTCGCCTAAAGATGGATTCAGAGTGACTGATTAAGCTAATTTCGTTACAATAGGTTGGGTAACATCACTTCATCTGGAAAACAATTTTACTAGGAGCCCATGTTCTGGTACCATCAGTTTTACTTGATTTTTGAAGAAGCAAGAAGGAAACCAATTCACATGACATGTATTTTCAAGCTTTTTGTTTGGTTGGTTTGGGGCTACACCCGGTGGTACTCAGGACTCCTGGCTTTGTGCTCAGGGATCACTCCAGGCAGGACTCAGGGGACCATATGAGGTGCTTGCATCAGCCACATGAAGGCAAATTCCCTACCTACTGTAGTATCTCTCCAGGTCCTCCCCATTCTTTTGTTTGTTTTTGGATAACACCCAGCAATACTCAGGAGTTACTCCTCATTCTGCACTCAGAAATTACTATTGGTATGCAAAGCAAGCAGCCTACCCACAGTAATATCTCTCTGGACCACCCCCACCTTCCACCTTAGGCAATCTTTTGGTTTTATCTGCAATTTCGATCTTCCTCTGCAGTAGAGTTGTTTATTATTCCTAAATGTCTTTCAGTTTTATCCCTGACTCCCTCAACTGAGGTGAGGTGGGGGCTTAGGGCGTGGGCATGTAGTGACCGGATTATAGCTTTGATATTAATTCTATGCTCTTTCATCTCTTGAAAACAATCTTTTCTGACTTTCTCGAGGCTTCTTCCAATTTTTAATCAAGCACTGTGGTTTGAAATGCTATTAATAGTAATGTATAAGGTATACAATGCTCCAGTACCACATCTGGCACCGGAGGGCCAGCGTCCTCTACCAAGGTTCCAGGTCCTCTCCCTTTGCCCTCATCCCTTCTCTTGGCACTTTCAGTTCTGCCATTGTACTCTCAGTCTATTATCATTGGCCCTGACCTCTGTTTCTCTCTGCTCTGTGTGTTACAGCAGTCATTATGTATTTTCCCCTCTCCTTCCTGCTGACTTCATTCGGAAGAATGTCCTCTTACTGCACCCAAGGAGCAGCAACTTGTAGGATTTCATTTCTTTCTAACTCCAGGATTCACTTGGTTTTGCTTTGTTTCTTGAACCTTTGGTAAAAGTTTGCTTCTTTGAGATCCATGTCAGCGTGTATCACTTTGATTATTTTTCTTTCTTTTTTTCTTAGCTTTTTGGATCAGACCCACTGATGCCCAGGGATTACTCCTGTACTCATAAATTACTCCTGGAAGTGCACGGTGAACACCTATGGGATGCAGGGGATCAAGTCAAGGTCAGTTGCATGCAAGGCAAACACCGACTCCTTGTAATATCATTCTGGCCTACATTTTCAACTTCCATTGTTGCAAGTCTTTTTGAATTTCACTTCCTATTTCTTCTTGGACACACCCAGTTTTCTTCTTTTTTGGGGTGGTCACACCTGGCAATACACAGGGGTTCCTCCTGGCTCTGTACTCGGGAATTACTACTGGTGGTGCTCAGGGGACCATATGGGATGCTGGGAATCAAACCCAGATAGGCCGCGTGCAAGGCAAACACCCTACCTGCTGTGCTATCACTTCAGCCGCCCCCCCCCCCCAGTTTTCTTCTTGTAGTTGTTTTCTAGTTTTATTCCACTGTGATCAGAAAAGAAGCTTGAGTCATTGTATTCATCTTACATATATGAAAACTTTTTTGGCCCAATTTATTCTATCCTATAGAAAGTTCTGTGTGCACTTGAATGTGTCTATGTTGTCTGATGTAAGTAGAGCTAGCCCAGTTTTCTTTTGGCTTCTATTTTCACAAGATATTATACCCCATCCTTCCACTCTTACCCTGTGTCCTTACATCTGAAGCAGGTCTCTTATAGGAAGCATATCAATGAGGCATGTGATAGCACAGCGGTAGGGTTTGCCTTGCACGTGGCCGACCTGGCCAACCCAGGTTTGATTCCTCTGCCCCTCTTGGAGTATCTACTGAAATTCCAAGTAGCTACTGAGAGTAGCTACTGATACTCCAAGTAGCTACTGAGAGTAGCTACTGATACTCCAAGTAGCTACTGAGAGTAGCTACTGATACTCCAAGTAGCTACTGAAAGTATCTTGCCCGCACGGCAAAGCCTGGCAAGCTCCCTGTGACGTATTCGATATGTCAAGCACAGTAACAACAAGTCTCACAATGGAGATGTTACTGGGCCAGCTCAAGCAAATTGATGAACAACAGGAGGACAGTGACAGTGACATCCAAAACACTGAAATTATTCAGTCTATGGTTCGCCTCTCAAAAACCTAAGTATGAATGGAAAAAATATTTAACACATAAGATAAAGGGTTGGTATCCAAGATAGATAAAGTACTAATAAAGATCAAGGAAAAAAATTCTAAAATTTCCATCAAAAAATGGGGAGAGGAGGGCCAGCGCAATGGTACAGTGGATAGGGCTTTTGCCTTGTATGTATTTGCCTTGTATGTATTCCATCTCTGAGCACCACAAGGAGTAATTTCTGGTGCAGAGCCAGAAGTAATCCCTGAGCTGGGTATGACTCAAAACCAAAAACAAAAAAAAAAGGAGAGAGGAAATGAACAAAGACAGGAAATGAGAAAGACAGGAGGATAGCATACGAAAAGGACTCAGCATCATTTTTCATTAGGGAAATTTATTTATTTATTTATTTATGGTTTTTGGGGGTCACATCCGGTGATTGTCAGGGGTGACTCCTGGCTCTGCACTCAGTAATTACTCCTGGAGGTGCTTTGGGAAACATATGAGATACCGGGGATTGAACCTGGGTTGGCTGCGTGCAAGGCAAATGCCCTATCCACTGTACTATCACTTTGGCCTCACATTAGGAAAATTTAAATCAATATAATAATGAGATATTATCTCATACCAATGAGAATGGGAACTATTAAAAAAATAGTGGGGAAAAACTGTGTTGGTGTGATGAAAAAGCAGCCCTCACCCGCTGCTAGTAGGAATGTTGTCTGGTTCAACTCCTCTGAAAAATAATATGGAGAGTTCTAGAACTGAACTTTCATCTGACCCAGCAATTCCACTACTGGCCACCATAATTCATTACAGCACTTACTACAACAATAGCTAAGATACGGAATCAACCTAGTTTTCCAATGACAGATGAATGGATTATGAAGATATGGTATATATACATAATGGAATACTATGCAGTTTCCAAGGAAAGATTAAATCATGTAATTTGCTGCAACTTGGTTGGTACAGGAAGAGATCAGGTTGGGTGAAGTAAACCAAAAGAAGGACAAACATAGGATGACCTCATTTATCTGCACAGAGGGTACGACGTTTACCTTGCACACGGCCTACCTGGCCAATCCAGGTTTGATTCCTTTGCCCCTCCCGGAGAGC